TTCTGCATTCTCTGGAAATTTGACCCATTCATCAGAGAATTATGTACCTGAAATATTTTCCCATCACTGCCTCTCTGCTTACGGTTGCAATTTTTTAAAAAGCTAAATGAAGATGTCCTCCTGCATAAAGAGAACAGTTGCCATACAATTCAATTTTAAGTCTTAACTACCTGCTTTACCAGCTCCAATAATACATATACACATAACACAAGGTTACTGCAATACAGACTGGAACCGCGCGATTAATAGATGAGAGACTTTTTCCTCCATGCTTCTTCAGAATTTGCAAGGAAAGAAAAAGGACAAAGAAAAGGGGGTTGGTCTCCTTGGCATAAAGATTGCCACTCAGTTTTTAAAGAGTATATTTTTTATGAATCGCTTTTTCCCTTTCCCTTCATCTCCATGAATCTTGGAATGTAACCCTGATTTTCTTTCGACAGTGAAAAGCAGAATAGCAAACAGGTAGGTGATCTTTACAACTCCTTTTTCTTTTGATATTTACAACATTTGTGGAAATACCAGCTTATAGAAGATAACAAGAAAAAATAGCCACTCTGCATATCCTAAGTACAGGATGTATCTCTGTCTATCTCTATCTCTATCTCTAGAGTTGGAAATGAAAAAGAATAGAACTGACATGCAATATTTAACATCAGTGTTGCATTTCCATATTCTTGAACTATGTTTTACTTTTCTAAAACTATTTTGAAGATAATAATTGTGAATAAACAATTAAGTATTGAAAATATACCAGTGGCATTTCATCATAAGGAAAAAACATTGTTCATTTGTGAAATAATTTGTCACTGGGGGAGACACTTAGCAGGTCAGTCTTAACCAGGTGTGCCATGTTGGAAAATTTGTCCTGCACTTGCACTTTATCCCAATGAGGCAATTCCCACTTTCCAGTTGTTAGTTGAATATGGCTTCCCCAGTACATAGTTTGGCAGATGTTTATTGGAAATCCTTGGAACCAGATTCTCGATTCAATTTTCAAGAATTTTAAAGGGGTATGCGCTGGATTTTCATACATTTAAACCGTTTAAGGCTTAACAAGTTGAATAACTAGAGTAAAGTAACAAAAATGGTGAGGTCTTTGGAGTTACACCTTATGAGGCAAGACTGAAACGGCTGGATCTATGAAACCTGAAGGGAGATCATATATAGGTATGTATGTACATTTGTATTGATTAGTTGTAAATGAGTAAGGTAGACTAAATCTGTCTATTTGTTATAAACTGCTAGGATTGCTCTCTCTCTTGATAGGGATAATTCAACATTTAACCCTCTGCCTACATTTGAAATGGAACAGTCCAGATTGAATGCTTAATTAAGTGTGAATTATGCTTAAATGTTTAATTAGATTACTATTCTCATTATCTGCAACCAGTAGAAAGGATTGGGGTTGAGATTCTTCCAGATGGGTTTTGAATGAATGTATACACACACTCATACACACACACACACACACTCATTCCATATTACCTACTCAAGATTGGATTAGTAATTCATCTAAATCCCAAACAATCTAAAGTTATTTAGAAGAGTCCCATGATTTGGAGAGTTCTGAAAATTGCAGAGGGGTCAAAAATCAGCAAATAGCTCATTCCCCAGAGAATTACACTCTGGTTTGTTTAACCTAGATTGATTTAATAAGACACCATTGGCTGGGTTTTCACACAACAAACTAAATTATCCATTAGCAGATTACAAAGCACCCTAGCAAAGTTCACACAACACACTGAGGCAAAACCAAAACAATCATATGATGTGTAATCACAACTTTAATATCTGCTGTGAAGGAGACACAGTATGTTAAAATCTAGTCTGAATCCAGGGAAATAAAAATCAAAGCAGTCACGTTCATCTACAAATGTTAGAGCTGCGCTATTTACCTGTTAATCATGTAGCTCCCTGAAATGAAAACAGATACATACAGAGTTATAATGATTTAGGAGCACAGGTCTGAAGATCACCTCTTCTATAAGATGGCATAACTTGAACCAAAGAGGCCAGTTTTGCTAGGCTGCCTGTCAGTAACCTAAAATAGAATACAGTAATTGTGTGGTTCACCAAAACCTGGGTCTACAGATGAGATAACGAATTCATTGCAGCAGATTCAATCCAACGAAGAAAAATTAAGAACAGTCCCCTCATAGAAACATGTTCTTAGATATTCAAGTCCCCACTGATGCAGGTATCAATAGCATTTTTATCACCCTGCCTTTCAGCTGAAAAAGACTTCTGGAGTGGCCTATTAAAGATCAGATATTAGGCTTACAAGCCAAAGGATGTGGCACAAACCAGAAAAAAATTGGAGTGTGGATAAAGAAAATCTGAGTATTAAATCTCAGTCACAAGAGGACACAGGCCTTCTGAAGGATTCATCCTTATCTTCCCTGAGATAGCTATAATGCAGTTTGAAGCCTTGTCAAACTTTTTGTCCTTCCTGCTGTAGTGCAGAACAGAAAGGCTGGAAGGGGGAAAGAGAAAGAATCAGGTAATGTTCTTGACTGAAATATAATTCCGGTCTGTATATTTTTGGCAGTTGCCTCTTCTACTTAATTTGCCTGAGAACTTTGCTAATCTTTAGGCTATCTTTACATGGCACACTGAATCACAAATTAACCAACCACACTTGAGCCTAGTGTTGTATGTGAATCCAGCTTGTGAGATTAATCTATGGTTCAGGATCACGTGCAGACCTAGAACATTGAGTTAATTGAAAAAGCTATGGTTCAGTTGACCAGCAGGAAGCGTTTCATGCCAACAGAGCCTTAAGCTTGTTAATTTGGTGATGATGATGATGATGATGATGATGATGATGAAGATTTATAAGGTCACCCAACTCAAAAAGTGTGTCTCAGGGTTGGGGTGGGTGCAGCATAAACAATAAACCAACCCCCCAAACCATGTAGCATATCCAATATATAAATATAAAATACAAAATATAAAATGGTGAGCAAGTAGAGTTACAAAACGGTCAAAGGGGACTCACTCAACTGCCCCCTAATGCCCACACTGCTAATTAGACCAGTCCTCTTATACTTGCTTCCCTCAATCCAGTATGCCACTGGGAATATTACTTCCAGAATTCCCATCCAACAAAGGCCATGCTGACTGGGAATTCTGGGAGTTGTAGTTGCGACATACTTGAAGAACACCTGAGTGGGGCAGAAGGCTTTTTGTTATATGACCTGACAGGCTTAGCCAAAATATGTTAATTGGTTAGGTTTATAGATGTTGCTGGTTGATGACTACCCTTTTCAGGTGGAAGGATAGAAATCCACAGGGAAGACGGCAGGGACTCTTTTCCATGAACACAGAAACTAGGACCAGAAGTAATAAGATGCAGCCATCTAGATTTCATTTAAATATAAGGAAAAGCTCCCTTATGGTAAGACCTGTACAGCAGTACAACAGTCTACCTACCAAAATGGTGGCTTCTCAACCTCTGGCTGTTTTTTCTAGGAATGGCTGGACAGCTACCTCTCAAGAAGGGTTTAACTGATTTTCGGTGGTGTCCCCAGAGGAGCAAGAGGGATCCGATTGATGAAAGCAGTGTTGTGTCATTGTGATGCAAGCTCCGCCCCTTTTGTATGCGCATTGTGACATCACACACATACATACCCCAAAGAGGCAGAGCTTGTGGCATCATGCCACTGATGAAATCACCAAAATACTGTGGACATTGCTGTGGTTTTCCTGCACCTTGCAGAGGGCTGGATTCCATGATCCATGGGGTCCCTTCCAGCTCTAAATGCTGTGATTCTATGAAATCCAAATTATTGCAACTACTATGATTATGATAACTATTATTTAGTCAGGAACAAACGAATGTCTGCCCAAGCTTGCAAAAAGCCTAGAGGATTTTTTTTGGGGGGGGGGTTATATTCTTGAAATATGACAATCCTCCGTGCAATGTTGCAAAATGAAAGTGAAATGCAAAATGCATATACTTCATAAGATATGCCTATACAGTATGTGAAGATGCATACATCGAAAGAGTCCAAAAAGGTTTGTTTGAAAACTGGGAAAGTGTGCAGATCATGCAGTCCATCCACTTGCAATGAAAACTATCAACGGGGTGGAGATCTTCCTCTCCTATTGCAGTTCTGAAGAGGGGTGGTGGTGAAAAGTAGAAAACCTGAGGCCAAGCCACACACTTTCCTTTAGCCAGGAAAGGTTCATGCTGCTGGCTTGAAGCCGGCTCGTCTGCCATCGCTCAGTCTTTCTCAGTGACCAGCAGAAGAGGGAAAGGCAGCTCAGGGCCCCGCAGGACAAAAGTCAACATTATTCGCAAAGGAGCTTGGCAGTGTGATGGATGAATAGAGCATTCAAACACACGCACACTGATGAAGTAGATTATTTTTCATTCTCAGATGCCATCCGTCTGCCAGTGTGCAGAATTCAAGAATGGAGAAATGTCTGTGTGAATGTGTAGGTGGGGGGAGATTTAATTCTCTTGTACTTTCTCAAACAGTCCTTGTGAGGCTGGATAATGGAGGTTAAGAGGGTAAGATGAGGTGGGCAGGCTTTGGGTTAGAGCAGTGTTTCTCAACTTTAGCAATTTTAAGATGTGTGGACTTCAG